TAGATAGATAGATAGATAGATAGATAGATAGATAGATAGATAGATAGATAGATAGATAGATAGATAGATAGATAGATAGATAGATAGATAGATTGTTTCATTGTTCTGATGACATTTTGATCCAAAAAGCAGAAAAAAGACAGTAAATGAATGAATGGATGTGTTCAAACTTTTGATTGGTACTGTACAATGCAGTAATGCAACCCTGCATTCACTGATTTTTTTCTCGCACTAATTTGGCCTTTTTGACTTTGGCTATCTGATTTATGGAAGCTGCTTTTTCTCTTTTTGGACTAGTTCAAAAAATATTTTGACTTGCGCCTGCATAATCCTCCAGGGTGTTCTCAACCTATAGTTGCTAAGTTGGGGAGATGATGAGCAGGTGATTTATCATAACGCTTTTAGAGCAGAGCTGAGGGCAGCCGCAGCGTTGGGTGATCATTTTCTGCTACTTTGTCACTATGATTGGTTTTCTCTTGCGCTGAAAATACTCATCTGACCCACTGTTGACATGAAAGTATCGATTAATGCAACTTTAATTAGATTTTTATATCTATTTCTCCCTTCACCACCCACTCGCTGCCCTCCTCTCTGCTCCCAGCATTTTCTGTCCTCTAATTTCGTCTCTCCCCGCCATCACTCTTTCACTCCGACTAAATCAATGAACATACACTTTATGCCATTTATTGATCTTTTCGTATCTATCTATCCTCACCCCCTCCTGCTCTTGCCCTCTCCGTTTCTCTCACTCTTTCCCCCCCACCATCCTTTTTTTCACCACTTTCTTTCTCCCCTTTGAATATATAATCTCTATCCCTCTCTCTCTCTGTCAATCTCTTCTCCTTTTTATCTCTCGCTCTGGGATATCCTATTTATATGGCTGGCACCTTCACGCTCCTACCAGAGTGTGTGTGTGTGTGTAAGAGAGAGTGAGAGAGAGTGTTTGATGTTAGTCTAAGTGGTTAACATAATATGAGCCCTCAGAGAGATGACGTTCAGGCACTCACACACAGACAGACACACAATTTTAGGCTTTTTGGTTCGCTTTTCTGTGAACAATTTGTGCTTTTTAGTATTCTCCAGCTTGTGCACCAGATCCATGTATTATCTATCAATTGCATTCTCCCACTCTGTCCAAACACACACACACACACACGGTCGCACATTCACAGCACACACACACACACACACACACACACCTTTGTTCCTCAAACGCCTTCCTAGAATGACAAAAACCCAGCATTATCTTTTGTTATTTATTATTGCAGATGGAGCCATTATTTCATGACCTCGCCATCTCTCGTTCCTCCTCCCTCTGCATATGTTTTTATTTATTCAGACCTCTCCCTACCTCTCTTTCCTGCCCTCTCCTCCTCTCCGCGCGTTTATGTTTATTCAGATACGTCTCCCTCTTTTTCTCTCCATCTTTCTCCCCTCTTTCTCTCCCTCTGCACCCATGTGTCCAGCTTTTGTTACAAGCCTTGTTTCCATAACAACTGCGACCTTTCACTCAGTGCATAACCAGTTTTAATCAGAAGTAGAGAAAGGAAGAGATGGGATGAGGCAGAGGTGTTGGGGGAAGGGGGGAGGGGGGGGGGCGTGATTTAGGTGATACGTGAAAAGAAAAAATACAAAATTAACACAAAAAAATTGCAGTTTGAAAGCGGACCCTGGTCTCATTGGGAGAGCCTGCGAACAGTTTAGTGGTGGGTTTGGGTGGGTGACATTCCCAGCAACAGGTTACTAAGTGCTGCTGAAGTTAAAGCAAAATGTTTCCCTGCTATCAGGGTGTCTGTGTAATTAAAGCAGGCAAGCTGAAGTAGAGCAAGGACATCTGTAAAAAAAAACAGACCATTATGGTCCACTGAACATGGGTACCTTTGCACTGCTGCTTCCAAATATTATACCTATGCATTTTAAAGGCATCCTATAAATCCACATTTACACTGTTAAATTCACATAATTTGTGTAAAATCGGATTAAAGCTGCCACATGTTAAAAATGAATGCATTTAGACAGAGAGTCTTTAGATACTCTGCTGTGTTTGTCTTTATGCTCAGGGGTGCTGGATCTCACAGACAGATTCCTGTGGTCAGATAAAACTGTTAATGACTGACCGGGTGACAGTCGGCGGTAAATAAAACCTTCGCAGTGCAGAGAATGTGCTGCTGAAGGTCTGTGGCATCACTACTGTAACACAAACTGAAAAAATGCTTCTCGGTTTTTGGTCAGAGTAATTTCCCCTTAACATGTTTATGGGCTCGTCTGTGGATAAGTAGCCTTCTGTCACAAACTGCTACGTGAATTATATAAAAGCCAATTAATTTCAAATGAAGCGACGATTTAATACAGCACAGTGCGTGTATGTGTGTGTGTGTGTGTGTATGTGTGTGCATACTGGGGGTCTTGCCAACATGGGAGGGACCGGACTGTCAAGTGGACAGCTCTCGAGCCCGCTCGCCCGCCCACCGCGCGCCACTCCACACCGGGTGCAGCGCGTGAGGTTGATGCCAGCCAGAGATAGATGGATTGGCGAGGGAGGAAAAACCTGCACAGTGACACAACTAGAGTAAAGAGGAGGCGTTTGACGAGTGAGGAAAAACTGAGAGAGTTACGGAACAAATCCAGAGAAGAGGGAAGCGGGAAAAAGCAGGAATCCTCCTGCTGACTGGTTCCTGTCTGCCCGCACCGATGTCCAAGGCCCGTCCGGTGACAGCAGGAGACAACCAACCGAGACAGAGCGCACAGAAACGGCCGTTGGGGTTGGAAGGCTTCGGGGAACCGCTGGAGCTCTTCTCTGTGACTGAGAGTAAGTTCATTTTAAACTTCAAACCTCTGCCTTACATATTTGACATTTTACGGCGTTTAAAGAGCTACGAAGGTCAGCGTCTGCTCGAGCTGCTCGCCTCTATCTCGCTCTGTTTATATTTTCTTTCATACTGCGACATTAGTCCGCCGCTGCCAATTAGTCACAGGACGCACAACGCGCGCGCGCGCACCCGCACAAACTGACCGCTCGTGCGTCAGAATCGCCAAAGCAGATGTTGCCACGCGGAGGCTTTAAACACTCTATTAATTATTCAAAGTGATATAATTACGCCGCAAATAGATAGATAGAATATAACCTATGTGAAGGGGGGAAAGAAATGGCCCCGAAAAATGACTGACCCAAATAATTTATAACATAAAAAAGTCCTTAGCTAATATTTTTGATTGTGTATGTCATAAATCCATAGTTATGAGTTACATTTATCCAGCTCTGCTTAAAAAATACGCTAATTAAAAGAAATTTCATTCGACAAGTATGGTTGCAACCCAGTATTAGGAACATTTTAGTAACCAATATGTTATTATTTTCCAATGTTAGAAAATGAACTTTTTGAATGTAATTTTCCAATATAACATACTTAAATGGATCATATAATACCAGTGCGTTTTCTGTGCTTTGTTTCATGTGTGTTTTCGCTCTTGTCAGTCTACCCAGTGACAGCTCCGGCAGTCCAAGAGCACCATTCTTAAGCCTAATCTAGTGGTTAATGGCTTTCATAGTCATTGCTCATATTTTGTGCAGCTTGCACTGGCTTTGAAAAGCTAATCTGTCCCTGTTATAAGCCCATTGGTTGGCTTGCCATCTGGGCTGTATTATAGTAGAGAGGAGAGGGCATTTGAATAATTGATATTTAGCTATTTATAGGAGGATTATTCTCTTCATGTTTCACCATCTACCTATCTATCTATCTATCTATCTATCTATCTATCTATCTATCTATCTATCTATCTATCTATCTATCTATCTATCTATCTATCTATCTATCTATCTA